CCCTCAGGTCTCAGGGAAAACACGCTACAAAGGTTCTGGAAAGCGAATTCCTGGTTGATAAGCTACATGCACGTTGTAGAGGTCTTTCTTGGCCCCTAAGTCCAGCGGGTCGTAACGATGGGGCTCATATTCCCTTGTCACAGTTGAGCTCAGCTCTTCAAGACACGAAGTCTAAACGGGATCCCACTAGCATCCCTACTCCTCTAGAAAGCGCTCACGAGCGATGAAACATTCGACCCCTTCGCAGTGCCACGCTCGCCAGGGCCGGTCGCACGCTCGCGCGCTTCCAAAAGACTGCGACCGAGATCTCGCAAGCACATGCCCCACGCATCCATTCACTCGTGCAGTCAGAACACGGGTACTCAGTATACGTCCTGTGCTAAGTACGGACTCACTAAACATTTTGAAGAAGTAGAAGTTCAGCCTTTCTCTCCAAAAGTTTACACTCTGATCCTGTCATGCTGTTCTGTGGGGTGAGCAATGTGTTTTGTTTATAAAAGACAAGAGCAAGTTTCCCCAGAGTTTCTCCAGAGGATGCAAAAGTGAGGGAAATGCCACAAGCGGGGAAAAAGTCTCTAAGGGTGAGATGAGGGGCGTCATCCTCTTCACGTGCCCTGCGGCTCGAACACATAAACAACCGTCCCTCCCACCCCTCCTGGCCCTGACGTCCACCGCGACACCCGCCTCTCCCCTCAGTGACCCTGCAGTGCCAACCCTGCCAGACGCGCTCAAACCCCTCTGCAGAGCAAGTGTCCTGCGGACCGCTCCAGGGACGAGGGGGCCCCGGCCTCGAGCCATCCTGGAAACGTTCAGCCCAGGAAGACTTTAGATTCTGCCTTCGGACACTGGAGCAGCTGCAGCGTGCAATAAGGGACAACTAGACTGAAAGTTGTGTGTTTCTGAAGCCTCGGAGCCACATCTGTCCCCCTCTAATAAGTGAGCCACCGGGGACCCTGCTAAATGTGAATTCTTCTTTAAGTCTTCACTGGAGCCTGAAACTCTTCATTTCTAAAGAGACGCCAGGGTATTCTCATGCTGCCGGCTCTAGAACCAGCAACTCACAGGGCACCAGAGCTTGGTGCCCAGCAGGACACACTCTGCTGCCAGGCAGTGTTTGCCAGGTGCGCCGCAGACAGGATTTCTGCTCTGTGCAGGACGCATAATGGGCTCAGTGCTTCCTTTCAAACCTAATGACGATTCCGTGCTTTTTATAACAGGACTGATTTTCCACACGATTGCTTCTTTTAAATATTAAAGTACTTTCATACAGACAGTGGAAAACGTAAGGTGAAACTTTCGAAACCACTTCAACAGGTGTGAAAAAAAGGTCTTAGATATTAAGTGGCCAGCTCAAAATTCACCCCATCGTTCAATAAATTCGTTGAGTGTTTGTTCCCAGCCACGACTGGCCCAGAGCTGGACCTTCAGCAAAGCTCGGGACAGACCCTCCCAGCAGTACAGCTGTGCCACGCACCTGTCCGACTATCTCACCCATCTCACTCGCTGGGAGCACACTGAACTGTTAAAGAAACGAGGATCGCAGGAACCCAGAGGGCGGTGAGAGCTCAGGGAAGAAAATCCACCGTATCAAGTGCCGAGAGGAAGCCAACCACCAGAGAAGAGCCCTGCTGAACTCCCCAGCAGCGCCAGCTCAGTCGGGCACACAGTGTGACCAGCTTGCGCCAACCCTCCGAGGAAGCAGAGTATTGGCAGCGGTGACATCATCCCGACCACTACAAACACCCTGAAACTTCGAAAATTGGATCTGTTCAGTGCCCCACCCTGCGGCACCCACTTTGTAAGACAGAATAAAAAATCTATGTACCAGACTCTCTCATGTCCTCTGAATTGCAAAATTAGGCACAGTGAGATGTCGGGGAACGCACAAACCTCCCAAGACTCCGGGCTGATTAGTACTGTCCATTCAGTGCAGTTTAAATCGGGGCGTTTCTCTCCTTTTTCAATAATCTGCTCCATACAGCACGTCATTGTTACTCTCTTAAATAACGCCCTGAATGACCTCCATGATATTTTCTATATGTTTCTAAGACTCAGTACTGCTGGGTCCATACACATTAATGTCCCCTACCTTTCATCTCACAAGTTCCACCCATGTACTTGTTTACCTAAATCATACTATTTTCTACTATTCCTCCCACGTAAGCTTTGAGCAAAGATTAAGGCCAGTTGCATCTTTATATTGCTTGGGTCCCCTCTGCGTGTCAAAGATAGGTTTACCCAGGAAAAGGCTCTAAGTTGGAGGTGTGCAGACAGACTGTCTGCTGGAGAGTCCTTGGTGGGACATCACTGGGCCAAGGGAAGCCAGACTGACAGCTGAAAAGGAAAAAGATCCAGACAGCTACCAAAGCCAGCTCCACAGGGAGCCCTAACTACAGCAAGCAGGGAAGGCCTCTGGAGCCCGGGATGTCAGCCAAAAGCACAGTTTAGGGTGAGTCAGTCCCCTTTGTTCTCCTCAGAACCGGCATAATCACCAAAAACCAAGTTCTAGAAACTACGGACTCACAGCTAGGAGAACTCTAAGGAGACAAGACAACTAAACACAGTGTGTCACCCTGGTTGGGATCCTCCACAGTAAAGGAACACCGGGAAAAAAAATTAAAAAGTCTGGAAAATTATGGACTTGAGTTAACAATCGTGTATCAGTGTTGACTCATGGCTGCAATAAATGAACCATACGAACACATAAGATGAGAACAGGACAGGCACCTGAGAACTCTGCACTATCTTTGTAGGTTTTCTTTAGATTTAAAAGTATAAAAATAAAAGATGTTTAAAAACTGAATTCCCCATAAGAACATTCTTATCTTTTCAGTGAAAAGAGAAGTCTGACATGAGGATTATGGAATGAGGGTCCCAGCACACTGTGGAGACCAGATAAACAGAGAGGCACATCTGGAAGGACTGTGACAGCCCAAGAGCCACGAAGGAGAAGGAAATTATGAAACGCGAGATGCGGTATGCAGATGAGAAAAAGAGTTTGGAGAAACCAGGAATGGGAACAAGAGGTGTATCCAGAGACAGGCGCTCTGCGACCTTAAGAAGCACAAAGGTGAGGGGAGAGGATGGACTCCTCTGCGGCTGGAGGACTGGCTCACACAGGGAAAGCGCAAGGCTGTCAGGTAAAAGGACACACACTGCTGCTGCTGTTGCTGCTGCTGCTGCTGCTGCTACTGCTGCTGCTGCTGCTGCTTGTCACCCTAATTCAAAGCAAGAACCATGAAAGTCTGCCCCATGCCCAACTTTAGGAATATAAAATGTTAAGCACCAGTTCACATCCATCGCTCCAAACACAAGGAAGTTCTGGTTTATTTACGGCCATCTTCGTTGGAAACACCCTAAACCAGCAGAGTAACTTCCTTTCCATTATGTGTTCCTGGCTTGCTGCCTTCTGAAAATAAACAAAGCAGCCTGCCCCACCTTCCAGAACAAAAACAACAGCATTATGTCACCGTTCAGCCAAAAAGCAAAACCTCCGGAGCAGACACAGCCAGCGCCAACTTCTAAGTCCACTGGCCCTCTCTCGCTTGCTTATGTAAGTAGAAATGTTTTCCAGACGAAGCCTCTTTCATTGCTAGCAGAAGCCAGGTCTGTTAGCACAAAGCCTCCCTGTTGAGGGCCCATTAGGTTAGGATGCAGGGAGAAGCCAGTGAACTTCTTGAAACAATTATTGATTACCTCAGACACTTTGAGATAGATGCAGAACCTCAGGAACCTTTTCATCTAAGAGGCAAGAGAAAACAAGCAAATAAATGCCGGTTGAAAACTGTAAAGAAAGACTGCAAGAGGAAAAGCGTTCTGGAGACAGGTCGCACAGCAATGTATTTCGCCCTTGGTTCTGAAGGGAAAACTTACAGTATGTGCATCTTACTGCAGTTAAAGTTTTTAAATTTAAAAATGGAAGACCATAGACAAAGATCACTGATCAACTACCCTACGGATTAGGAGAAGACAAAAGCAAAGGCTGGGTGAACCTGGCCTCAGGCATGACTGGGTTCTGTGGAACGGAGTTCAAAATCTGCTATGGAGAATCAGTTATCAAATGTGCAGACACGGGCGGGAACATCCGAAAGCAGAAGTGGTGCGAAGGGCCAGAATGTAAGGGAGCCAACATCAAGAACCCGCTGGAAAGGGCGAGGGCGGCAGACCAGGAAGAGCTGCAGGAACGTGACCCTCAGGATGAGCTTGCAAACGCCGGAGGGATCCTGGACTGAGGAGGTGAAGAGCGCATTTCCATAGGTAAGGGTGAGGTGGCCCCTGCAGCCCGGAAGGGCCAGCATCAAGATGATTCTCCAGCAGAAGCACTGATCTAAAATGTAGAAAAATTAAGAGATGATCCTGGAAAGAAGACTAGGACCACACCAGTAAGGTCTCTCGGGCCAGAATAAAGCACTAAATAAAATTAATCCGGCGAGGTATTTTTGGCACATTTGGAGTAGGGACAGAAAATACAGAAAATACACACTTAAGGATTTTGCATGACTTGGGTAGGACAGCTGTGCCCAGTCTTTACTATGGCTGGTGTTTGCAGCTACTAATCCCTAGACCTGGTAGCTCACTAGTACATTTTTGTTGATTAATACATTACTGGATTATAAAGGAATGTTTAATGAATGAAAGAAGAGGTCCTGAACTAAGGAAACAGCAGTACTAATGAAAAATGAGGAACAGCTAGGAAAAATATGGCTGGGACAAAAATCTGTGATTCATATTAGATCGCAAGGGGAGAAAGAAGGCACGGCTGTGTGGCTGGGAGCTTGGGAGGGCGGGAGGCGGGGTAGGGCAGGTCCTGAGTCCCCGCCCTTCTGTGCAGGTGTGGTGAATCCCCACAATACAGACATCAGCTCGGTGAGAAAATTACAACTGGCATGAAATTAAACTACCAATTACTTACTATACTTTTCGGAGTAGCTAAAAACTGTGTGCTTAGCTGATCTAAAAGGATTCCAAGCAACTTGGATGTCCCAGTGAATGGATAGCTTAGGCCTCACGTGGTTTTTCTCAGTAGCAAATACAACACAAACAACAACAAAAAGCTAATTAAATAGAAAAGCTGCCCTCCAGCTCCTCTGGCAATTTTAGAAGCAATCCATTTTACTTTAAGTACCCCTGACAGATACTATCTAAAAGACAAGGGTACTGGGAAAAGCACAACTCAATGTTCCCAGCTCAAAATGTTTCCATCTCTCCCCTGACAGACAGCAAAATAATCAAGATGATCTACATACTCCCTACCACAGTATCAAGCTGTTTGCTAAACAGGTTTGCTTTGTACACCAAAACCATCTTACAGTTCCACTAAGCAGAAAGATCCCAAGGGGAAGGGTTCCCCTCAAAGACAAAATCTTTAGAGAGAATCATATTAGTAACTCTGATCCTAATGCCATCAGAAATCCTAAACTAACGCACAGGTAAGGGGTGATACAGCAACCTTGCCATTCACTTGGCAACAATGAGTTCCATAGTGAGATAGTGACTATGAAGTGTTCTTTCTTCAGAGTAACATGAGCTCTTCAGAGTTTTCTGAACTTTTATAACCCAAGCCTAAACAGACACAGACCTGTTACCTGGAAAGGCCTTTTTCTGAGAGTTCTTTCATCCCTGGGTGACATTCTGTATATATAGGAAACCAACTGTCTGTGATATTTACAAGGAAGAGGTTTTAAGTTCATGGCAAACAGCAGCCACTTCACCTCTGACCTAGCAAAACACGTGTCTAGGACCAGCCTCATCTCCCTGGTTGTGCAAGGCCTCCCTGGTTGTGGTAAGGAAATGGCAGCACATTGAACAACCACATACACAACTGCACATCGCTCAGTCTACTGTCTCTTCATCTTAGAGCTGTCATCTTGTGGTCAGGACCCAATCCAAACAGGGTTCCATCCCACCCTTAAGACTCTGTGGGCATCCATGTGCCTCAGCTCCCCAGTGAGTTTGACTTAACGTCCAGTGAATACAATAAGTTATTCACACTTATGAAATTACATACCTACAGTCCTTTCTAATTTAGTTCACATCTGAGTTCAGATCACTCAGCAAGGAGCTTGGAAGGCACCTCCACATGTCACCTGAGAGGGTGCGGAGTGAAATGCCAGGAGCTCAGCCTTCAAAGCCGTAGCACCCAGCTGGGAAGGACTTTACCTTAAGTCCAAGGATAAAAAATCCACAGGATAAGCCACTTTTCACAGAATGATTAAGAGAGATGAAAAATTATTGTAGAATTACCTGGGGTCTTAAAACCCCATGTTTACCTCAACAAGCTGCCGTTTCTCACGTCTCTTTCCTTTAAATACCGATCCAGGTCAGACGGAAACAACAAGGGCTGAAGGGAGAAAAGTTCAAAGATCAGAAAATCCACAGTGAGGCCGGGAAAATACACTCTACACCAAGAAAACAAAAACTGGAGAAGCACAAGGGAATTTGCTCTCATAGTGAAAGAAGCCTGGGGTAGTCCGCAGAAGCAAACCCGAATTATCCCAGCACAAAGCACTAAGTAAACTGTATTACCACAAATTCTTAACATTTTAAAACTAACATCAGCATGGCCAGAAAATGTACAACACCTTTTTAAAATGCTTCCTTTGGGTGTGGTGGCGCACACCTGTAATCCCAGCACTCGGGAGGCTAAGGCAGGGAGTTCGAGACCAGCCTGGGCTACAAAGTGAGCTCAAGGTCAGCCTGAACTGCACAGGGAGACCCT